TACGAGATATTCGAGGACTGCACGAGGCGGCAGCTCTGAAAAAAAAAGTGAAGTTATCCTTAATGCTTTTGAATATCAAAAACGAAAATAGCGATATATACCAAAGAGCCAACAATCTGTTATGCGTTCCCGTAATAAGTAACGAGAAGTGCCAAGTTGGTAAAACAACAGACACCAAAACTGGTTATGATAATTTGCCAGTTCATTCAGCACACGAAAAGCACTAAAATTTCAGATTTGTAAATTTGGTAAATCAGTGTCCAGCTGCTATGAAAGCCAACAGCCATAAGAAATGTTAAGCAAATTCATCTTCCCCGATGATTCAGGAATTAAACGCCCAGTTAGTACTGCGCTCCCTGATCATTACGTATAATGACTGTCCACATTATGTGTTAACTCTTCTTCTTTCTTTCCTCTCTCACTCTGTTTGCTTCTTCACTTATATCTTTTCCTTTCGCTTATCCGTCTCGCAAATTAATTACACTACTATTCCAAACACAGCAGGTAGGAGGCTGTACTGATGATTCTCGTTCCTACTCGTATGCATAGTTCGGTCTGAGTTTACAGCTAAGGGATGAAACACAAAGACTGCATCATAAAATATCTTCACACACATGACATTCAAATCAGATCCTTCTATTCTTCTATTTTATAACGATTTGTTAGCTGATTCAGCAAAAAAGAGGTAGCGAAACCCCAGGTTTATGACTTGTTTCGTTCTGGCACATATCTGAACATCCGGCAAAAAAAAGGACGTCAAAAAGTAACGCTTGAAAGCTGATTTCTAGCAAAATTTAATCTGCCTTATCTACTTCGGTTTTTGGAAAATATGGTACAGGAAATGTATGCCGGGAAAAGAAACTGCCCGATCATATTGCAAAAATGAGAGACAACAGATGGACGAAGCGAATAATCGACTGGTACACAAGACACATCAAAAAAACACTTAAAAGGCCGCCGATGCGCTGAGCCGATCTGCTAATTCGAATGTGTGTAGCACAATGGATGCAGCGAGCATAAGATCCGAAGTTGGTGATGGAGTGGTTACTGTCAGGCATAGGTTTAGAGAACAGTGTAGTTATAAATCAAGTGGTGAACTAGTAGCCGTTCTATGTGTATATCAGCTATAAAACCACAAAAACTATGAGTTTTGGCTCATCTTTTTTAAAAATATAAAGTTAGTCGAAATCGAAATCTGAGGTTGTAAATCAAGTGGTGAAACAGAAGTCGTTTCATGTGTATATCAGCCATAAAACCACAAAAATTGTGAGTTTTGGCTCGTCTTTTTTAAAAGTATAAAATTAGTAGAAATCGAAATCTAAGGTTATAAACTAAGATTCTGAAAAGAGCAATTTTTAGAGTAATTCTATTTCTTAGTTAAAGTAAATACTGCAATTTTGCGAACGATAGACAATGGTTGACGAGAATCTGACAAAAACTGATTGTAATATTGGACATCGAAAGATGACTGAAATTTTGGCGGGCTTTTGACCGGTACATTCAGTGCGACAACCGCAAACGTAACTCATTAACCTACGGTTAAGCAACAACATCTAAATACTGGTATAGTATGGTACCCGTCATAGGCAAATCCAGAGCGGTCTCCTGGAGAGATGGGGGGGTGGCGACAGGCAGTACCGGACACATTTTTGTACAGTAAAACGACTAGCTACCTGAGCCCCTGAGCCGGGGGCGGGGGGGCGGGGG